ACAGTTGCCAGTCTTAGAAATGTGTGACATATCTGAAGGGCTGTGTGAGCCCCCTACCTAGATCCAGGCTTCTCCTGGAAGAACACTCCAAAGAGAACATCCTGCCCTCAGTATCAGTATCAGTATCAGTATCTTCAGATTATCTCCCGCTAGTCGTTGCTGAGAACCCATCCTCAGACTCCAGGACTTGGTGTACATCCCTTCTCTGACCAGCTTCCAATTCTTCATAGGCTAGGACGAAAATCACCGTGAGTATCCCTCCTTTGATTTTCTAATGTGGCAGCTAAGGATAAAAAAAAATTATCTCAAGGATAAATAGTGAAGCTTTTTAGGATAATTCATGATAATGAAGATGGTGGAGGGAAGTATCAAATATCACAGTGATGCACTTTAAACCTCCTTGGAAATCTGTCCAGGGATGCCATTGGTGAGCTGCCTCTTTGGTTAGGATGGTTCTTGGCAGCCTCAGCGTAGACGGTCATCCACAGTAGACTCTGTGCAGCCCAGCACTACCTGAATCCTGGCCTCAAAGGAGTCATCATTTGGGCCCTTCTATTTCTCTGAAAGGCAGGATTTTTGGCATAAATTGATCTCATGGACTTTGACTCAACATCACAGTAAGGAGGAAGGCACAATATGAACTCCATCGCCAACATGTCAGAAGACCTAGCAGGGGTTTAGAACATTCCTTTACTCATATCAGGGTCCTAATGTGATGGGAGGACTCCAGCTGCAAACAATGGCCAAAGGCTAATCTAGACTTTAATAATCATTTTGGAAGGAATACTGTTTTCAAAAATAATTTATTCAAATATCTTATGCCAAAATAATTCTAAAAAGTATTAGTTTCTCTTAGTTGACCCCAAGCAAACGTGCATTTGACTACATGAACACAACTATTATTTCATAGTGTTTTTTTTATTATAGACTTTTTTTTTATCCACATGAATGTTAAAGAAACTACAACAGAGTTAAATACCATTTTTGATAACATGATTATATTCTTAATTACACTCAATATTAAACTGTAAAATATTTCCAGAGGAATACAATCTGCATTCATACAGCAGGCAAAGTACCAGAGAGGAAGGGGCCACGTGAAAGTCCGTCCAGTTTGCTATGAAAAGCAGTTTACACGGCTGATGCCATCCTAGCTGTCGAAACGTGACCCCCCACTCCAAGGACAGGTTTTGTGTTTTCTTTCCACAAAGAATCACTTCTTCAAAAGTTACAGACAGTCTTTAGAGCTGCCCTCTCCACGTGTGCAACACTGAGCTCACTTGGGACCGTCCATGAATTTCCCACCCTGGTTGGCTAACAGCACTCCCAACGCTCTGGGTTCAGTTGGCCTTTAAAAACACAAAGACTCAAACTTTGGTTCCACCAAAATATGCGACAAGCGTTGACGGCTCTGGTTGGCTCCCCCTCCCCCCACTAACGAACGGCCGCCACAGTCTATCTTACATGGTTGTCCATGCGGCTTTGAGGTCACTTGTCCTTGGGTTCTCCTGAACCTGATTTTCTATTTGATTCCCAAGCCCTTTCAATCGCAGTCTTTGTGTGGGTCGGAAGTGCTCAGTGGCAGGCTGTATCTTACAAGAGAACAAGAGTAAGTGGTTCTGTGCACCTGGGATAAGACAAAAAGCACGGAATGACAACCTCAGCGTGATGCAATCGGATAATTTAAAAACATTTAAAGTATTATTTAGTATATCCTTAAGAGAAGACATTTTTAGTACAGTTTGGACAAAAACTTTTAAACAGTGACCATAAAATCATCTTTTTAATGTATACTTGCATCTCCATGAACATTGAGCCAAACTAGAATTACCAAGTCAGAGTGTGATGGTTCACTATGCGTTCTTTACGTAAAGCCATTGTGTTGGATTCTAGAAGCTCCCATCTGTTGTTGGGCAAACGTTAAGACAGCCTGTGGTGAAAGTGACAGACAATTTCATGCTCTGGGGCTCTGTGGGCCTTGGCTGGATGGCCCAAGTTACATTTACATCTATCTCTCCTGTCCTGGGATGTTAGGGCAACTGTAGAAGTACCCCTGAAAGTTTGTGATTCAGCATCAATGAAACCACTGGATTGGTTATGAACTGGATTTTAGTAACTAATACTAGAAAATGTGAATTAGGCCACAATTTTAGGCCAGGAATAAGAGGAGAGCAGATGAAGTGTGGGCTTCAGAGCAGGGTAGCCTGGCTCAAATCCTGCCACTTGCTAGCAGTGGGACCACAGATAGCTTACTCTTCTCTCTGCATCTCAGTTTTCTCAGCTGTAGAATGGAGAAAGTAGTAGCACTTCTCTCAGTGGGTTGTTTTGAAGATTAAGCAGGATAATTGACAATGTGCTTTGAACAGTGGGAGCACATTGTCCTTATCAGTGAAGACTCTTGAAAAAGCTTGGTCCTCTTATGTCTGACTACAGATGAGAGAAATGAATATGCCATTCCACTCCCCCTCCCCATCTTCGATCTCTACAAAAAGAAGACACAGAAAGTTCAATTGCAATCCCGCAACATCCTTTTAAGACCTTTCTTTTGTTGTGATTTTTGTAATAATTATTTGATAAGTAAAATAAAACAACGAGAGTTGACCAAAGAGGTAGATATTGTTAGCATAGGGAAAAAATCCTACTTTCAAACTCTCCAGAAGGATGCAAAGTAGTAATTGTGATGAAGACAATGCAGACATAAGGCAAATGTAGGTGGGTCATGCCCTTGAGTGTTGTACATGATCTTGAACAGGAAAGGAGAGAGAATGTGACAGGAGATTTGCATGCAAGAGTCACAATTTTAGAGCTGGCAAAGACTTTGATCTGGTTTGGCTATCACATTTTATAGATGAATGTGAGATACAAAGAGATCAAATGATATTACTCAAGATAACACTGGGAGATAGTATCAGATTTAGAAGCTAAATTTCTCAAAACCGACCAATGATTTAGTAAGACAGAGAAGTGGCTTTAGAGTCACTTCTGACCTGGATCGAATCCTGGCTTTATCACTTACAGCTAAGTGACCTCACTGAGTGAGCCTCAGTGTTCTCATGCATGAATTAGGAATAATAATAGGATCTACTTTATGGAGTTCCAAGGACCAAAAAAGATAGTGTGGCAAAGAATTTGTCTGCTACCTGGCATGATTAGTGCTCAATAAATGGCAGTTATTATCATTTCCAGCTTGGCCAATGAGTTTCTGTGTGACTATGAATGAGCCATTTCCTGTGATGCACTTTCCACTTATATCAAATGACTTGAGTTCTCTGTGAAATACATGGCTGTTTCAACCAGGTACATGGATGACATTTGCATAACGTTAAATGATGCTTGGAAGAAAAAGAATGTAAAGTAATAACTAAATTAGTGTTGACATGGCATTTTTATTTGGGGTGATTTTACACAGATTACACTGGGGTGTCTGTGCAGGACACAGAAACAACCAAAATAAGGAAGACTGTCAGGAATAATTCTGGTTGTTAAAAGCAATCCCAGATGAAAGAATAATATGCACAAAATTTTGAAATATTTTTCAAATCGTTTCCATTGTACTCATGAGTTCACAATGAAACAGATATGCAGAGCAGTAGAATGTCTAATCTACTAAGGCTTGTTTTAGGAGGTAGTTTGAAGATAAATAAAATAAACTACACATTACACAGCTGGTAGCTAAACAAATAGAATTCATTGCTCCAAAGGGGACTACACCTCGGTTGAAGAAAGGCTTATATAAATCCATGGGTAATGGATCTTTAAGGACTTACCAAGGGAAAGGTAAGAGTATTCAGTGTACATGCCTAAATTTTGAGATTGGTATTGTTAAGAACAACAATTTGGCTTTTTAAATGGGATTACATAGTAAATAATCAGGGTGGACCTTTATTTCGACTCAACATGGAATTTCTTATGTCCTAATGTAGTGCAAAAAAAGATTTGTAGAGCAGTTATATGTGGCAGTACTTGCTCAGCTTATTAAGTGGATTGCCTGTGGTTTTGAAAAGCTTCCTCCGCTTAATAGTCATATTGGAATCCACTAGGTGGCAAGAACACAGCACACTACCTTAAGGGTCACTCTTGCATAAGACATTAATGCATCAGTCCCTAATTTGGAAACCTGCGGTCACTCAGCAAGACAGAATTTGTCTCTCTCCCTCAGTGTAATGATTTTTATTTTGTAATCTCTCTTGGGGTAATTCCTTGCAGGCTTGGCATGTTGAGAATCAAATACTGCCTCTAACAATATGGTCGTGATTCTCTGCTTGGCTGATTTAGCTCAGCATTTAAGTAACCACTAATCTTCTGAAAGCACCAGGGTCTACTTAGAGAAATCCCTGTTGTCTGCAAGGATGGAAACAAAATCAGCATGGAGGAAGCATTAGTTACTAAACACAAATCAATCTTTTTTTCCACCTAGCTGGATGCTTTGTCACCCTCAGAGGCGTGGTTTCTGGGCAGTGAATCTTCATTTGTAGGTGTAAGAGCAGCTCAGGTCTGACAAGCAAGGAAGATGAGTTGGGGAAGTGGAAGGAGTAAAAAGAGAGTTTATTGAAGTTCCTAAGTATAAATCAAACTACAGTCTAATGGATGAATCTCACAAATATGGAGTAAAAGAAGCCAGACACATGTATTGTATGACTTGCATGACTTTATCATTTGTAGACTTTGTTCTACTTCCATTAAAGGTTACTAACAAAAACATCCTAATATATTCTCTTTGGTTTGAAAGACAATTACTTTGACACTTTGGGTTTATCAGCATTAATCTGGATGATTCATGCCTTGTTTTCCTTGATATTCTGGGTTAAGATTTACTGGAGTTTGAATGTTTTAAAATTATTCATTTCACACTGCTGGTGCAAACCTGTGTACTATAATGCAAAATTGCCCAAAGTCAACTTCAGATTCAAGAAAAATACTTGAATCTAAAGAATGCAGTCAAGCTTACAGGACCATTTGTGTATGACTTCATGGAGATGAAAACAAAATAACTAATTATTTGACCATCTCTGCTGCAGAAATATCTGCTCACAGAGAAGACAGGAAATGCAAACATTAGAATAAAGTAGGCACTGGATCTAAAGTTAGGAGTCCTGGCTTTGCAACACAGACATAAAAGATCACATCTCTTCACTGTACCTCAGTTCCCTGTGCGTAAAATGAAGAGAAAGCATATGAATGAGAGTATGTCTTGGAAAGAGTTTTGAGCTCCAGATGAAATGTGACATAATTAAAACAAATACTAAAGATTACCACTAATATAGATGATGCAAGAAGTGGGACTGTCATTTGCCCAGAGAAGAGGATGCTTTTGATATGCATGAAAGAAAGAGAAGAAACCATGAGCCTGTATTGTATGATCGAAATTATTTTTGCCAATAAATTCCATTGAGTTGAAAATATGTTCCAGAGGGAAGAAGTGGGAAGAACCATTCTGATGGGAATGGCCAAACTGACAAATGACCACAATCCTAGTTGGCCATGAACATTTACAAAAGCTACCTCTGACATCTGAGGTATTCTACCATCTTGTTACTTACTTTTCTGATTTAGCAATTCCAATTGTTAAGTCATCCTAACATATTGTTACAGGAAAAACAAAATCCTAGTTTTTTCATCCCTAACATTCTAATAACTATATGTCTTCTTCCATAAAAATAAAAAACTTGCTTTTGAAATGTTTAGTTATATTCTGAATATAGTCATTGAATTTTCACTGTGTTCTTTCCCTTAGGAGCCCAGAGTATTTGTCTTTCAAATTGTTGCTGGGGATGCAGCCTTGAACCTGGCTTCAGCTATAGAGAAACTATTATTGGTTTAGGGAAAGAATGAAGCAGAGGCTCTCACAGGTCTATAGTGGTCATCTCACCACCTATCAGTAATTCACTCAAAGTCAGATTCAAGGAAGACTCTTTGGAAGCAAGAGCGAGCCTGAGAAGATGAGACACTAAGCATGACTTGCTGACACTCCAGGGGCAGTAATTACTCTCGAGGGGCAGTAACCAGGGTGTCAGGTAGAACCAGAAACAGCAGAAAACCTCAAAACAGAATGAAGATCATTCCTACAGACTGAATAGAGAACTTCTTTCATTTTATAAAAATTTCCATAGAATCTATAAGACCCACTTAGCCGTTCATTTAGGAAGTCTCATGCCCAGATATAATGAAGTTCATCAGTGTACTGTACTGGCTTAAACACAGGATACAGCTTTACCAACCTATTGGGCTATTTCAAAGACATCAATCAAGAACCTGGCCAACCAATACAATCAGGGAGTTCGGGAAAATCTCTTCCCTCCGGCGAACTCACCGTTTAACTTTTGCTGAGATGGGCACCAAGCTTTTCTTTCCTGATCAAGCTTGCTGCATAGGGGATCTGTAAGATAAAAACAAGCAAAACTCTGCAGGTAAGCTAAATTTGGAGACAGATGTGCAAGGGAGACCTTTCGTCATGCCTAACAATTCGAATGCCAGTGGGTCTTCCCTGAGGAGGAAAGGTCTCTATCAGCTCAGCAGTATGGAGCTTTCAGGGCATCACACTCCTAAGGCCTGTTAAAAAGCACGATCAGGACAGGACAGGTGAGCACACGGGGCTGTTGCTATAGCTTGTCTCTGAGGCTACTCTGTGATATTTCACTCACAGAAGTTTTCAAGATTTTGCATTTAATAATATGGTATTCTTATTTTTTATTTAGGTACAAAAACAAAGTTATGTTATCATGTATGTCCAAGGTCACAAAACAAGAATGTGTTTACAAACTAGTTTAATGTAACCTTTCATTTAAATGGAGTGATGAAATAATACTATCATTATAAATGGCAAGTAAGATTAACCAACTAAACACAAACTACTACTCTGGGTTATTTCCCAATAACTACTAAAGAAGCATCAGAAATAATTGCACTGAATGGAAAATATGACCCTTGAGAATTCTACCTGGATAAACTTGAAAGTACTTGTCACCTCTGGGGCATTGAATGAAAGCCTATCACATTTGATATGCTACTTTTCATTAGAAAATTCAAATGGTTGAAACTGGACGACATATATTATTTAGATTTGCCTCTGCACTAACCCCAGTTAAGGTATTCTATCATTATGTTACTTACCATCATCATTACAAAGCTTAATGCAGAACTCCAAGGATTCGAATCTATTTTATACGCAAAGAAATAACTACTCAACCTTCTAGGATGTTACACAAAATATGGCTATTATGTAAAAGCAACAAGGGAAATAAAATTATTGTCATTCAATTAGGCAATGTTTTTTAATACTTATATATATATTCCCATCATTCCCAGCATATTTATGTTTTGCTCTCCTTTTATACCAGTCCATAAATAAGAACCTTTATTAATGGAAGGAGCTACAAATGTACAATCACATTAGTGACTAAAATTAGCTGGACCATTTTGCTGTAATAACTGGTTAGTTGAATCAAGCAGTCTTTTCAATGGAAAACAAGATTAAAATAACCGTATCACTATTTTTATACACAACCACAACATGGATGTATCTGATAGGTGCATATCTGATAAAGGGCATGGATAGCAGCATTGAAATTAATGATTCATATAGTACCATAAAAAGTTCAGTGTCCTAATCTCGTATTTTAGGACGTGAGCTGAGATCAGCTAGATACCTATGACAAGAACAGTTACATGGGGACCTACTCTAGTTACCTCTTCTTTTCACTCTAGGTCATGCTACACCTGCTATTAACACAGACACACTGAATCTTAATTTTCCATTGTGGTGCATGCTGCTATATGCCAAAGCACATGGATCACCTCTCTCTAGATGCATGAAAGAACAGAGACTTAAAGGAATTATGTTATTTAGGATAACAAGCAGAAATTATGCAAACCTTGGGTTACAAGGAATTACCTGAAAGAATATATCTGTGCCCCTCTCAATTAGCAAGAGTCCTCAACATCAAGATTAGATACTGTTAATGATTTAGTGAGCATCTACTCTGTGCCAGGCACTTCTTGTATAGTTAAGTCAACATCACCCTGGGCTATCTCATCCTACCCCAAAGAAAACTGTCTGAAGGGCACTACTGTTAGATCTAAATCAGAATTCTTCCCTTCCCTTCCCTTCCCTTCCCTTCCCTTCCCTCCCTTTTTTTCCAGAAACAACAATGTAGCATTTCATTAAGATGGAAACCTGAGAAGGAACAAAGGACTCAGGACAAAGAGAGGACATTTTCAAGTGAGAACATTTGATCCCAAATCTCCAGGTTGGAATTTAAACCTGGGTCAGGAATTATCTCCACTCAAACATTTACTGTTGCATTCCCCCCCACCCCCGCCAATAAAACAAGATGAAATAAAAGCTAAACAAAAGCAAGACAAAAAGCAAAAGGTTGCAAGCTAAAAATCATGGCTTTTTTACTATAAGTCCTAAATCATGAATGGTAAATAAACAATATATTAGAACATGGCCCAGTTGTTAATGAGAGCTACCCTATTTCATTGATTCTATTAATACACTTTCCCCCTTCACATTTTAACATCTCTAAAATTGGGTTTTTATAATTGATGGTGTCTTAGAACAAGAGTCGAAAGCTTCTTTTCTTGTGATCCATCAAGTCATGTTGCCTCTTACAACTGACAATACTTAAGATTCCATGAAATGCAATATTGGGTTTACAGAGACCTCAGCAAATACTCCAAGCATGGGAGCTCAGGATCCTAGGGGCTCCACTTCAGTTAATTATTCCACGTAAAGTTCCTGTAATAGAACTTACAAAAGCCTTCTTTTCATCTGGACCAGCTTACACGTCACCAAGACTGGCATGGACAAAAACACCCCTTAAAGTTATTATGTAACTTCTAAATTACCTAGTTGACTCTAGTCTGTCAAAAGTATGGAGAGCTTTCCAAAAAAGATAAACTTCTTAGTTTGTGCCAAGAGAGAGTTAGCCTAAGCTCAGACATTCAGGTGGGTCAACATCTTGAAAGGAGAAAGATGAGAAGAGGCCATATAACTAAGGAACAAGTAAGTTGTTGTCAAGATGCATAGCAATAGATCAATAATTGGAAAAGGTCCCGGTATAGCCCAAGTCTGTCGACTGCTGGAGAACCTTAAGGCAGACTCTGCAGAAGCCCAGACTTGCTTAAGTCCTCTGACGTGCAGGGACCTCCTTTAGTTTCATATTTAGCCACAAAACCAAAATCCTCTAGTGGCCCAGAGTTATTTTTTTGAAAATTATAGTGCAAAAAAAGTAACTGTTCGACCCACTTTTAAAAAATGTAAAATACATACAAAATTCTCTGGGTTGAGAAGATAGGAATCTGGGCAAGTTCACATCCCAACGAACATGGGAGAATCTCCAAGGAAAGAGGTATCACTGAAGGGCTGTGCCCTTCCTACAGAGGGAGCGTTTTTTTCCAGCAACGAGGAAGACCTACTGCTCCCTTCCTGCAAGGAAGCACCATTCCCACCATCAGGAAGTTGTAAACTGCTTTTTTCAAGTCTACATGAATGAAACAATAGTACGAATCTACTGATCAACACGATTTTACTTGAGGCTTTAAACATTTTTTTTATTTCTATTGAATTTATTGGGGTGACATTGGTTAATAAAAATATTTGTTCCAGGTGTACAATTCTATTAACACAGCGCTTCTGAGCCTTTTTCATCTCATGGCACATATAAACTAATTACTAAAATTCTGTGGCACACCAAAACTATATATTTTTTGCCAATCTGACAAAAAATAGGTATAATTTTGACTCATTCACTCTGGACAGCTATTGCCATTGCTGTTATCATTTTTTTATTTGACAATCCAAGGCAGTGGTTTTCAACATGTGGGTCACGACAGGTACTTTAGCAAATAAAACAAGCTGAATAAGGGATTAGATGAATTCCTGTTCAAGTAAACTTGAGTCTGCTTTCACAGGGGTCGCCTAAATACATCCTGCATATCAGATATTTACATTACGATTCATAACAGTAGCAAAATTACAGTTATGAAGTAGCAATGAAAATAATTTTATGGTTGGGGGTCACCACAACATGAGGAACTGTATTAAAGGGTCGCGGCATTAGGAAGGTTGAGAACCACTGATCTAAGGACGAGAGGTCAGTGCCCCTGACTAAATAGTCAGGTATTGCATATTTTAAAAATTCTTTTGAGGCACATGGTTGAAAATCACTGCTATAATACATCATTGTATACTGTATTGTGTGTTCACCACCTCACGTCAAGTCTCCTTCCATCACCATTTATCCCCACACATTTCCTTCTGGTAATCACCATACTGCCTATGAGCTTTTTTGTTTTGTTTTTTGCTTAATCCCTTCACCTTTTTTACCTAGCCCCCGAACCTCCCTCCCCTCTGACAGCTGTCAGTCAGTCTGTTCTCTGTATCTATGATTCTGTCTTCATTTTGTTGTTAGTTTATTTTGTACATTAGATTCCACATGTAAGTAAAATCATAAGTTATTTGTCTTTCACTTAGCATAATACTCCAGGCCACCTCACACCTGTCAGAATGGCTATCATCAACAAATCAACAAACAAGTGTTGGCGAGAATGTGGAGAAAAGGGAACCCTCGTGCACTGTTGGTGGGAATGCAGACTGGTGCAGCCACTGTGGAAAGCAGCATAGAGTTACCTCAAAAAATGAAAAATGGAACTGCCTTATCACTCAGCAATTCTACTTCTGGGAATATATCCTAAGAAATCTGAAACACTAATTCGAAAGAAGACATGCACCCCTATGTTCATTGCAGCATTATTTACAGCAGCCAAGACCCGGAAGCAGCCCAAGTGCCCATCAGTAGATGAGTGAATAAAAAAGCTGTGGTACATTTACTCAAGGCTTTTCATGGAGAACTTTGAGACCTTTCACCCCTGGCTGCGTGCAACTGTGACTGCAGCATTCTGGACAAACAGCAGAGGGCACTTTAAGCCTAGTGCATTTGCTCCATCTGTGCTCCTCTTTAGCAATCCAGCAAGTTCCAAGGATGTGAATCTGGGTCGTCATTTATCATGTGCTCTCTGCTGCAGCATGTCCTTCAAGAACTGTGACTAAAACAGACCATGTCTTAAACAAATAGACAGTAGTAGCTTATATATAAATGCACTTGCTTAAAAAAATTGTTGCCAAATTAGCAATGAAAAATAAAAAGATTATGAAGGCATCATAATAGTCTCAGCTTGTATTGTAAATTATATTATACTAGAGGCCCGATGCACGAAATTTGTGCATGGGTAGAGTCCCTAGGCCTGGCTGGCGATCAGGGCCGATTGGTCGTTCTGCTGTTCGGTCGATTTGCATATTAGGTTTTTATTTTATAGGATTCCAGTTCTTAGAAAAACCTTAATCAAAAGGTTATAGAGAGCAAAATATCTTCACCTTTAAAAAAATTTGAGATATACTTGACATAAAACAATGTATGTGTTTATGAAGTTTCTTCACTTTCTTCTTAACCCTAAGGAGTGATTCATTTTGTTTTTAAAGTGAAACACATTTTTCCTAAAATCACAGTTTACTTGTAAATGAGAAATCTGTGGCTCTACATTATACTAAACAGTAACATCTTCATGAACTTGCTAAATTCTGTAACTTTTGTATTTGGTTTATAGTGAGAGGACTATATTTCTTAGGTTGTCTAAATAAATCTGGTTTAGCAATGAAACATTTTAAGCACTTGAAAACCCAGGGCAGGAGTGGGGGAAGGGAAGCTTTAACACAAACGGTGTTAAGTGCTATAAAACTCTAATTTTAAGCTATTGTAAAAGTTAGCTTGTGGTCATGTATAAATGTTAAAGATACACATGCTTTAAACCTGACACTGAGAAAAATGCACAAGGAGAGTCAAGCATTTGACTCTGCAGTCATCATAACTTGCATTTAACAAACTGGAAAAGGAAGCAATGGTGCAGAAATTACAGTCAGTGGAGAATCTAAACATGCAGGAGCCAAAGAAATTCATAAGTTTTCTTTCTACAGCAATGGCACCCAAGATGCTTTCGATATCATCTTTTGAATAAGAACACTGTAACGACATAGTATAAATACATCGTGGGTCTATGGGAATCATTACAAAATATGATGATTTTAATATATTTGAATTCTCCATTATTGCAGGATAGAGTGGGTTTTTATCTCATCCAAAGGGAAAAATGCCTATTCTGTAGGCAGAGGACTATTCTGTAATATATATTCCGTAAACTTTAAATATTAAAATAATTTTGAGTAAACTGTCGGGTTCTTGGGGAACAAAGTATGTAACCATATTTACAGATGAGTTAGGTCATTCAACTAAAATATTGGGAAAGTCAATAGTTATGATACCTAGCAACTTCTTGATAATCTTCAGATATAATTTTCTAAAGGCATTTCCCACAGGTACTTTAGCAAATAAAACAAGCTGAATAAGGGATTAGATGAATTCCTGTTCAAGTAAACTTGAGTCTGCTGCCTCAGTTCCAAAGCAGATGGCATAACGTGAACACAGGTCCTTCCTGCACAAAAATATCTCCAGCCACCAAGGCTGAAACAGTTCCACTATGAAAGTACCCCTTTGAGAAGGGATGTTACTCATATTGGCATAGCGTTTTATGACTTGTGTGGGCATTTCATGCTCATTACACACTTCCTCCTTACTACATCCCTATCTGGGCACTAGGCTAGACCTTCCAACAGGTCCCTTTGGTTGAAGAACTAACACTTAATGAACTATATGGGATGAGTCTTGAACTCAAGTTTGTAGACCTTGAAGCTTGTGTCTGTTCGTTATAAGGACAGAACAGTAATACATAAGCTTCCTATAATTCAATACTACACCTTCCTTTTGCAGTTTTGGTAGTAGTTACTTAGCACAAAAGAACATTTGAGAAAGTCATGACCAAACCAGGGAAATCTGAAAAGAATTAAGAGGACTGCTATATGAGAATATCAGAATTGGGGCAGGGGGCGTCCATGAGTAGTAATTCATTCAAGAAATGTTTCTTGGGAGGCAGCAAGAAGCTCTCGGTATCTTATGGTAGGAGACACTAAAGAAGAGGAAGAAACAGGAGGGACAAATTATGTCTATTTCATCAATTTTTATGTTGTTAGCCTAGATATGCCTTTGAGGATTTCAGGACTTATACCTACAGGCCTAGGGGTAAAAATTCTAGCTTCTTCCAAAGAATTTAATTTACAACATGAAATAATTTACTATCTAGAAGAATGTGAATTAATAACACTTGTCTAGATAAATACATACCTATGATAAAATATTCTTCAATACAGAATAATAAAAATGTTTACTAATACCAATTTGTATCTTCTATGTACCAACTATCTCAGAAGACATGAGACATTTTTTTCTTCTATCAATACTGCCTGCTTATTACATAAATGCAATATCATTTCCTCTTTTACTAAAGAAACCAAATGTCAAAGAAAATTAAGATGTTTAAGTTACATAACTAGCCTTAAACAGGGGCACTGAAGTAAATAGTTTCCTTTCTTTTTTTTTAAAAATATATTTTATTGATTTTTTTACAGAGAGGAAGGGAGAGAGATAGAGAGTTAGAAACATCGATGAGAGAGAAACATCGATCAGCTGCCTCCTGCACACCTCCTACTGGGGATGTGCCCACAACCAAGGTACATGCCCTTGACTGGAATCGAATCTGGGACCTTTCAGTCCGCAGGCCGACGCTCTATCCACTGAGCCAAACCGGTTAGGGCAATAGTGTCCTTTCTTAATGCCCATTTTGCTAGACCCACCACCCTGAAATCACAAGTTTTTGGTTTGATGTGTGACAATTTTTGTTTTAAGAATCTGAAAACAATGCCCTGAATAAAGCCAGTAAGGTCTTAAAATTTTATATCACTCTCCAATCCTATTTTTTTAAATTCTTCCTTTGAACAAAGAAAACAGTAAGTATATTCATAGTAAGTAATTACTAGTTCTTATTGTGAAAAGTTATATGTATATTTTAATCCTTGTAGGAGATTAAGAAAATCCTTTTGCTCCCAGTGAATTTAAGTGCAACAAACAAACAAACAAACCAAACAAAAAACCTGAACACACACAGAAGCAGAACAAGAAGAAAGATCCTGTTTAAGAGGCACTTTACGTTGAGGTGGTTTTCAGAACTGAGAGTTGTGAACCGGCACTTTGAGATCAAGGAAAACCTCAGCGGGGCGTTAAGACTGACAAGCAGCACTGTTAACAGAGCCCGGAATGGAGAGAAACATGAAGCACGGGTTGCTTTAAAAATGCCTCCCAGCACGAGCATGGCTCCTTCCATGCAGAAAGCAAAGGTTAATAACCATCCTTCTTAAATAGTCCTGACAGAGAGCTAGATACCTGTCTCTTTAGACACGACAGGTGGGTATGCAAAGACACATGCTTAATGGTATAAGGATAACATGGGCCAGCTCAGAAATGCCTTGCCACCTAAATTATAATAATCATGCTATGAATAATACTGAGAAGCAGTGTATGTCTTTACCCAGGTGATTACAAATATCTTACCAACACTGAGCAGAAATCATTTCCCCATCCCACTCATGAGAAGGAGGAAGCTGGGGAGACTGCCTTTTTAAAGGTGTATATTTTTCATTGATTTCAGAGAGGAAGAGAGAAAGAGAGACAGAAACATCAATGATGAGACTCATTGATTGGCTGCCTTTTGCACGCTCCACACTGGGGATCGAGCCTGAAACCGGGGCATGTGCCCTGATCAGGAACTGAACCGTGACCTCTTAGCTCAGCGGTTCTCAAGCTGTGGGTCGCGACCCCTTTGGCGGTCAAACGACCCTTTCACAGGGGTCGCCTAAGACCATCCTGCATATCAGATATTTACATTATGATTCATAACAGTAGCAACATGACAGTTATGAAGTAGCAACGAAAATAATTTTATGGTTGAGTCACAATATTAGGAACTGTATTTAAAGGGCCAGAAGGTTGAAAACCACTGTCTTAGCTCATAGGTTGGTGCTCAACCACTGAGCCACACTGGCCAGGCAGGGGAGACTGCTTTAAAGGTGCTAGTGAATAATACCAGATGTATCTGCAGGGGGGACAAAAGGCGAGGAATTCAGAAGGAAAAAAACAAAACAAAAAGAAAACCCACTACATTTATTTATCAGACATCTTCCTGTTTCCCTAGAAATAGATCTTAGTGTCCACTTTTAGAGATGATTAGGCTAGAGTAACACACTTGGTTTGGAAAGAATTCTTTTCCTTTCATTATCCTTCAAGTGAATTTAATTGATTAATAGTGTTCACACTTCATTCTATTGACTGTGGAGAGCCTGGCCCTGATCTGGGGAGTGAAGGGGAGAGGGAGGAAGATGGGAGACAGTGGCCTCCACGCAGTGTCTGGCGCATCCCAGCACTGTGTTGGGAAGTTTGTGCAGTAGAAGACGATGCAGGTACCTCTGGTTCGCCCACAGAGACAATGTACACATCTGTCTATTAACACATGGTAGGTAGTTACATCCCGAGGAAGCGTACTGACACATCTGCTTATCCTGTGTCTAAGTAAATCTCTTGGTAATTAGCATGCAAACCAGCTGAGAAGTGGGTGGACCAAAGGCTTTCACAGCAAAAACATGAACAGTTTCTAAACAAGCCCATCCAGCTGCCTTTATTTTAAAGTAGAAATGCAACTTACAATTTGTAGCTGTTGCACCATTTCTTCTCGGTAGGCTAGTTCCCTTTTCATCTGGTCCTGGAAATTATCTAGCAGGAGAGAGAAATAGAGACAGAAATGAATTAAAGTGCAAAATCTACTTTTAGCATATTTTGTGAAAATATTACTGACAGCCCCATAGAAAACCCCTCCCCTATCTAAATATATAAAAGCCTAATATAAAGAGTCCACTTGGGCGTTCGACCAACCGGGAGTTTGATCGCTCGCTATGACGTGCATTGACTACCAGGGGGCGGCTTGGAACAAAGGAAGGCCCTGGCCACAGCCGGCAGCCGCTAGGGACCCTACCTGGGCACAATTTCTGTGCACTGGGCCTCTAGCTCGATATATATATATTAAAAGTAAATAACATGGTTGTTTGAAGGAATGTTTTCAAGATTCTATAATTTAACCAGAATAGACAGTAAACTCTGAGGGGGTAAGGTCTATATCTTACATTTCACAGTATCTCACAACCCATGTAGTACAATCCCTTGCATATCATCACTCTCAGGAATGTCTGGGCAATCCTGTTTTCTAGTCTTTGCACACGTGAGAAAGTCGCAAGTACCTCAAGCTTCCACTGCCTTCAGAAGTTAGTTCAGAGGGAGGGAGAGGGTGCACCTCAGATCACAGGGAATGCGGACCCCTGTACACAAAATGCCGTCTGGGTGATAAAATGTGGGGCCATTAGATATGGCTGCCTGGCTTCACTGCAGCCTGTCCCACTCCTAAAAAGAGTGCCTGACTGCCAACCTGCACACTTTCTCTCCCTGTATCAGCCTTATTTTATGGTCCTTCCTGGGCCTGGTACAGTTCTACAGGCCCCGCCTCTATGTGAGAAGTATCGTTATGCAAACTATCTTTGCCATTCTACATATTGATCATTTTTAAATTGCGTTTATGGAAAAAAATGACTTCCAATGTATATATCATGTTGTTGCATTTTCTAGATGTGGTCTTTTTTAAAAAAATGTAGACTTAGCACGGCCTTTTGCCGACGGCCTTTTTCTGCTTTAAATGGTAACACAGTGTCATATTGCATCTGTGGTGGATAGTCAGGTCAGCAGTTTAAAGGAACCAGAAACACAGTCATCACCTTTCCCCCTTCTCTTCAGCCAACTGGTGTGCGAGTCCTGTACATTCTACCTCCATTCTCCCCTCTCTTTGCCATTGTTACCCCCAAAAGCAATAGTTTCCCAGTGACCATCTGGCCTACAGTCCCTTCTTCTCCAAATCCCTCTCATTCTGCTGCTTAAAAACCTGTGATGGCTTTCTACAGCTTTCAAGATAATAGATCCTTTACTACTCACGAGGCGCTGGGTACTAGACAGTAACAGCAGTATTCTTTTATTTTACTGACTTCTACCTTTCTAGACTATGTGAATTCCTTCACCAACCTCAAACACATATCTATCTTTCCTTCCCCAACCTCACACACATATCAATCTAGCTATCTATCATTTGTTTTATTTTACTGACTTCTACCTTTCTAGACTATGTGAGTTCCTTTTCCAACCTCAAACACATATCTGTCTATCTTTCCTTCCCCAACCTCAAACACATATCAATCTAGCTATCTATCATTTATTTTTTAATATATATTTTATTGATTTTTTACAGAGAGGAAGGGAGAAGGAGAGAGAGTTAGAAACATCGATGAGAGAGAAGCATCGACCAGCTGCCTCCTGCACGTCCCCTACCGGGGATGTGCCCGCAACCAAGCTACATGCCCTTGACTGGAATCGAACCTGGGACCCTTCAGTCCCCAGGCCGATACTCTATCCAGTGAGCCAAACCGGCTAGGGCACCTATCATTTATTTTTAAAGACTTTTTAAAAAAACAGTTTTAGGTTCACAACAAAGAGCAAGGTACAGAAATTTCCCATGTACCCTTCCTCCCACACATCCACAGTCTCCCCAATTATCAACGTCACTCTCTAGAGTGGTACATTTGTGATCAAGGATGAACGAACATTGACATGTCATAATTCTCCTAAGTCCACAGTCTACATCAGGGTTTACTCTTGGTGTTGTACATTCTGTGGATGTGGACAAATGTATAATGACATGTATCCATCATTATAGTATCAGAGCAGTTTTACTGCCCTGAAATCCTCTGTGCTCTGCCTACTCATCCCTTTTCTCCACCCGACTCCTGGCAACCACTGATCTTTTTATTGCTTCCATAGTCTTGCCTTTTATAATTTATTTTTTTAAAAGACCCAATCCCTAATTTCACCCCTGAATTTAATGTGAAAGGTTCTGTTCTATAGGTAAGTATGTGGTGCCATGCAATGGTTACGGGAGAAGCTTTCATTCCTTTGGGGAGTGAAGGGGCACAGTTTAACTGAGGATAAAAAAATCATTAGGCCAATGTCTCTAATGAGAATCACTTAAAACACAACTATTTTTGGAAACATAGTATAAAAGGAGGGAGCAGAGAAAAAGCACGGAAGCACAGCCTGCCAGCCAGCACAGGGGCAAGGGCTGTGCTCTGTTAACGTGCCCACTTGAAAGGCCAAAGGGTTTTCCAAACAATAATAAAAAGTATCCAGCCTAGATTTCTGGGACCAGAAATAGAAAAACCCACACAGTACATATGGTTTACCAGGTAGATCCTACTCGTCAAGCTACAGGCTCACAACAAAATTGTGGACAAATGTATGATGACAGGTAGCTATCATTATAGTATCAGAGTAGTTTTAATACATTTTTAAAATTATTTAATTTTTAAAAATTGTTTTTAACACACTTGTTTACATTGTCTTCATTTTGTTATCATTGCTTTCAAACGATTGAGACTTTTGGTCTATACTGGTAAAGGAGAAGGAAGAAAGAATAGACAAGTTTGCTAGGGAAGGTGGACACAATGTGGTGGCAAAAATGACTTCGGGATTTAGAGCTGCAAACACGATCTGACCAGTCACTTGGGGTGGGGGGTGCGGGGGGAGGAGGAGGGAGAGGGAATGGTGGCATGTTGGGGACAGGGTCTCTAATCATTTACTCCCGTCCAACTAAATGCAACTGTCTTTGCAGGACGTTTGACCAACTGTCCTATTGTCATCACAAAGTGACCTTGATAAGGGTGAACTCTTCCTCATCCATTTCCTCCAAACACGGATTTCCACATTTCCACCCAATTCTAGATTACATTTCTCCCACCTCTCCTTACAATGCCTGCCCTCTCTGCTCATGTCTTACCCAGTTTGTCAGCGAAACGCATTGTCTAGACAGGGGTGGGCAAACTTTTTGACTCGAGGGCCACAATGGGTTCTTAAACTGGACCGGAGGGCCGGAACAAACGCATGGATGGAGTGTTTGTGTGAACTAATATAAATTCAAAATAAACATCATTACTTAAAAGGGTACGGTCTTTTTTTTTTTAGTTTTATTCATTTCAAATGGGCCGGATCTGGTTTGCCCACGGCTGGTCTAGTATCAAACCAAGTTTCACTGCCTATTCCACTCTCGATAACTACAGCCCAATAAATCTCGAGAAGTTCTGGCTTCTCAAATCAGCTGGTTTACTGTCAAGTCCCTGCAGCATCTAAATATCAAACTTTATTTTTTTTTTAAATATATATTTTATTGATTTTTTACAGAGAGGAAGGGAGAGAGATAGAGAGTTAGAAACATCGATCAGCCGCCTCCTGCACACCCCCCACTGGGGATGTGCCCACAACCAACGTACATGCCCTTGACCGGAATCGAACCTGGGACCTTTCAGTCCGCAGGCCGACACTCTATCCACTGAACCAAACCAGTTACGGCTAAATATCAAACTTTAAAGTGGACTATGGTGGCAACAACTCACATCACCATGGAGCAGTCACTGTGCTCAACACTTTGTATATTTCACTCAAGTAATCCTTTCAGCAACTCCCTGAGGTAGGTGTTAGCACCGTGTTACAGTTGAAAGGGCTTAGGTGATAGCCTAAGGTTTCTCAGTCGCTAAGGTTACTCACTGTGCTCCTCTGCTCTGAAATGCATGCCTGGCCCTGCTGCTTGAGCCCAGGCTTCCTCCCTGTATTTCCCCATCAGGGTTTTGCAGAGTATTTATGGAGAGCAGCTCTGGAAGCTCCATCCCAGCAAGTGAGAGACTTGCTTGTTCCTCCTCCTCTCAATTTCTGACCCCCCTCCCAATATAGAGATGCTTTCTCCTCCTCTTCCCCTTTCTCTTCTTCCTCTACCTGGTCTTCCACTACCTCCTCCTCTTCCTCCTTCCTCTAATCTTTATCCTCACCTTTATTTATTCCCCTGGTCCTCATTAACCCTCAGAACCACAACAAGAATCCCAAGAGAAACTCAGAAACTTATTCTAGAACTAGGGGCCCAGTGCACGAATTCGTGCACCTTGAAAGGAACTGTGGGCCATGAGGCTGCGGTGGGCACAGGGGTGGGTCTCGACCCATCTTCCATACCCCCAACCGGCCCCTCCTGCCACGGCCCCGGTCCCCTCTCTGCTGGCAGCCCCACTCCCACGGCCACCACTCCCATGTGCTGATGGTGCCAGCCCCGCTCACACTTGCAGCCGGTGCTGGAGTCGCCGCTCACATCCACTGCTGGCACCCGGCACCAGGTGCCTGCAGTGGGTGCGAGCAGCAGGTGTGAGCGGGGCTGGCGCCGGCAGCAGGTGTGAGCACCGGGTGGGACCGTGGCGCACAGGAGCAAAGAATTTTCAGTAACCACCAGAGGCTTGCCCCGATGACAGCGACTGGCACCCTGCCTTGGTCTGGTGCCCATCTCACCTGCTCCACCATCCCGCTGTGGCCGACGCCTGCCATGTTCCGAGCACACCCCCTGGTGGTTAGCACACTTCATAGCTACCAGTTGTTCGGCTGTTCGGTTGTTCTGGTTGTTCTGCCATTTGGTCTATTTGCATATTAGCCTTTTATTACATAGGATTGCTTTTCTAGAGCTCAGTGCTAATAATCTCTTCCTCCTCCTGCTTAGTCATCGCAGCTGACATTACTGAGCACCAGGGACGTGCACAGCCCTTCACGGACCCCCTCATTTACCCTCTCATCTTCCTACGAGACAGGAATTATCGGCCCCATTTTACAGGGTCCAGGGTCCTATAACCAGGAAGTGGCAGAGCCCCTTTTTGAAGCCAGCATAGCTGAACTCGGGTCGGGTCGATTTTTGAGCCTGGGTTCCTACTTGTCACATGCGGTAGCTTAGCCGAGTCCCGTGTTCTAAGTGAACTGGTTTTAGGGGTTGTGACTATGAGTGTCTGTCCACCTCCTAGTAAAAAGCTCTGCAAAACTCCAGGCTTCCTTCTGATACAGATGGCTTTACGAAGTTCGGTCTTCCCCTTTCCACCTGAGTGAATCTAAATCCGCCCACCAGCCTCAAGGCCTCTCACGTGTAGCTAACCAGCACACAATGTGCATTTGCTATTTCACTGGTGTGAAATTAACTGCCTCTTTGCGGTGTGTCTAGACCACGCATTATTCAAACGTGGGCACACGCACACCACTTCCTTGGTCAGTGGAATACACTGCAGATAAAAAAGTGGAAAATTTTTTGTTGTTGTTTAATTGAAGTGTTTTATATGTGTGGTGATCACAGAGGATTCATTTTAATTCAGATCAAAAGGCTGAATGACAGGCCTGAGTCAAAACTGGCCAGTTGTACTATAACATTCTAACTTAAAAAAAAGAAAAATGTACATGTTGTATATAGTAGAGCAGTTAATAAAGAAAACTTATAAATGATTATAAATTAATTTGTGCCAATGATTCATTAGCTTTTATTAACGGAATCAATCATGGCTACACTGGCTTCAAGGAAGGCAGGGGGACACTTTAGGGATTCCAATCGGCTCTGCTGGATCTAAAAGCTGGGATTTGCAAACCTGACAATTAGATGAACATCAGCTTATAGGGGAAACTAATCATTCAATGTTTGCTCAATTCTGTAAGGAACCTTGCAGTCTTTCTTAAGATATAGTTTTAGAAATGAGAGAACTCTAGATCCTTTGAAAGCATCTGCTTTTTAAGGTTTCAAAGATTTTTTAATACATTTCTCTTTTTCTCGAAGCTCCAAATGTCATGATGTTCCTAATACACTATCAAGGCTGTTGACCATCCTCCAGTCGATCTTATTTTAAGCCTCAGCAAGTTCAAAATACGGGAGTACTGTGAGCTCCACGCCTCCCGCCAGGGCACTAAGAGATCACTCACTTGGCACACCCTGTAACTCCTGCGGTCAGAGCTCTCTTCCTTCATGCGTCCTCTTGCTTTTACTGCGCTAAGTGTTCTGGTGGAACCCAGTTTGACATGTTACCAGGAACCTAGCCCCATTCAAAACTGCTACCTGAGAAGACACGACTTTCAATTGTGCTGATGAGTACATTGGAGAGGCCCTGGTGAACGCAGACCTTCCTGCTGATATTATTAAAATAGTCACAATTCCTGGAAAATCTTCTTCCACATGCTGGTCTTGGGCTCTAACACAGGAATTGCCAATATATGTTTTGTGATGCCCAGATTAATAAACAAGGGACATGCTAACATTCTAAAAAAGTATCTCAGAGAAATTAATATCAATTTATAGAATTTAAAATATATGTTCACATACTATTTTATTTCCCACTTTCTCTGGAGAGAGGACTATGAGTAAGTAAAACTCCAAAAGCTTTTAAAAAAAAATACTACTATTAATGTATTTGTCAAAATGTGACCCGGACGGGGGCTGGTGGATTTTAGAAATCTGGACACCTACATAAAGTCTGAAATTCCAGGATTCTGGCAGCACAACCAATAGCGTTTATACTAAAATATCTCCTGCCATCAAAGTTGAAATGGAATTTTTACATTAAATATGGAGACTCCAAAACTACTAAAATTATACTAATTTCAATCAACAAAACAAACATGTGTACATTGAATTGATAAATTTTAAATCTTCATATATATGCGTATTTCAAGAACCAAGCAGCTCTCCAGCCAGCACAATCTGAGAATATGAATTAATTGTTCTTTTGTTTTTTCTCTCTTAGGGAATAAAAATACCTGAGGAATTCTTTTAAAAAAAAATATACAGCCTAGCCCAGCTGGTGTGGCTCATTGGCTGAGTGTTGACCTATGAACCAGGAGGTCACAGTTCGAATCCCAGTCAGGGCACATGCCCAGTGTGGGGCATGCAGGAGGCAGCCGATCAATGATTCTCTCTCATCATTGATGTTTCTATCTCTCTTTCCCTTTCCCTTCCTCTCTGAAATCAATAAAAATATATTTTAAAAATAAATACATCCTAAATATTTCTGAATATTTAAATACATCTACACATTTAATGGTATGTTTGCATACATATTTTAAATATACACAATACATACATACAGATACACATACACCGCTGCAATAAATACCAAACGTTCTTCTCTGAAATTTCATCTGTGAGCTGATTCAAAGCATAAATAAGAGACTAAAATTTCCTAATATTTACATGGAGATCACAGGAAGACTGAGCAGCACTTTACACAGTCACCTAATCATCAGAAGTATATTCTTTAGCCTAATAATAGGAATGTCATCAGATTTCATAATGCAGTGAAATAAAAGTGATTTCTTACTGAATACTGGGAAAGATGTATTTCCTTTTAACACTTGGAATTCTTGTTCCAGTCGTCTCCGTAAATCTATTTGTTCAAATAAAACCTTCTGAAGTTCTTCTAATAAAGAAAAAAGGAAGAGTCATTTTACTAATCTTTGTAAATAACTCTCCAGAGAACTGTTATATATGGCAATTTATTATTAGAAGACGAAATATTTTACCAGTTTAAAAAGTGTTGCATAGACATAGGATAGATTTTGTGCAGAAATCCATGAATATAAATCAATGTAATATATTATTTTAAAGTATTATATTACAGTGTCATGTATTGATTGATATGTATGCATTAATCTCAATTATATCCACCCAATGGTCCATATATTATTCATATGTTGCTTGTCAAGCTTAAAATACGGCGCAGAACAAAAATATCCTCCTATTATCTCTATAAGTCTTTTAAAGCGAAGAGAAGTTCCACAGAATTAAAACTTTTCTTTACCTTTCCCCATATTTTCTACATCCTTTTTGAGAGAATGAGGTGAATTTGTTTCTTGAGTGTGTTCACCTTAAAAAAAAAAGGAGAAAAAATATTAGTTTTGTGTGGGATATTTTCTGAACCTTTTTCTCTTCATTTTGTTTCAATATCTACAAAAGAGCTTATTATTTACCATAACTTGAAACTGGAAGTCCTCAGAACCAAATGTCCTCATTTGCTCATGTTCAATTCCCCAGAAACACGGGGGGAGCTAGAGAGAATGAGGGCACAGCCTTTGTGGCCTGTGATGGCAGCTCCGTGAATGTAGATTCCTGAGTTAGCCCCTCTCCCCGCCCCAGTACTACCCCTCCTTTACAACGAAGATAATTGTTAGAACGGGCAAGAGAGGCGGTTGAGCAGTCAACATTTCTGGAAGAAGTCTGATCAGAGTCCCTCTCCCTTCAGAAGCGTGAAGAAGTCTGCTGACTAGTGGAAGGCCCCCAAACCGTGGAAGCAGAAGACTCCTGCCATCTGGAGCCACCAATGTTTGGGACAGTGAAAAAGCAGTGGGAGGAGGCTTCAGTTGTCCTTGAGAGAGAATTTACAAGCCTGGAACAATTTCCTAATAAGTGATAGGGTTTTTTTTTTTTTAATTAACCTAAAACAGAGACTAGTTATCTTATATTACTTTGTATTAGTCACATGCTTGCTGATAATTTCTTAACTACTTGCCTTTAACCAATAAAGACTATATTGTGGGTAAAAGTTAGATTGTTTTTCTTACCTATTTTGCTTAAGTGCCAACCAGAATGAAGGCAAGATAAAGAAAATGTATTTAGCCGAAACCGGTTTGGCTCAGTGGATAGAGCGTCGGCCTGCGGACTGAAGGGTCCCAGGTTCGATTCCAGTCAAGGGCATGTACCTGGGTTGCGGGCACATCCCCAGTAGGAGATGTGTAGGCGGCAGCTGATCGATGTTTCTCTCTCATTGATGTTTCTAGCTCTCTATCTCTCTCCCTTCCTCTCTGTAAAAAATCAATAAAATATATTTTAAAAAAAGAAAATGTATTTATCTACATTCATAAATTCAGTCTATACAATCCAGAAATTATAAATAAACTAAAGAATTCCAATCATTCAGCTAACCAGATTTTTTTTTTTTGCAAATTTCAATCAGCTACCTGCAACTATCCATAAAATGTGATATGCTTTCCAAAGAGGTGAGGCAGTACAGACAAAAGTACTCTGAAGTTTCATGGGTTTTTGTCCCCCTAGTTCGCCTCCTCTGTGTCCCTGGAAGCTGTTCACTTACTTGCCTAATTCATCCACTAGATGGCGTGCTACTTGGAGGTAGGGCTCTGTCTTTCCTGCATGGCTAGTGCCTAGCACAGTGCTGCACATATAACAGGTATTCAATAAAGTGTTTTCAGTTGTCACCGAAAGGAACCTCGGGAGGCTGTAAATTTTAAATTATAACCCGGGCTAGAATGCATCATTTCAATTCTCTCCTCACTATTTACTCATTTCCCTTCCTCAGCAAGAAATGGAATGTAATGGCCCTGGGCACTTGTAGGAATACTGGGAGATTTCGCTGTCCAGGTAAAAATTCCTACAAGGAGGGACACAGAATTTCTCCCCAAAGTGGCAGGGAGACAGGTCAGTACCAGGACAGACAGGAAAATCCTTAGCAGGATCTTATAAATGGAGATTCTGCAGTCCACCTGAAGACTGTTGGGAGTATGTGTGTGCAGGTATGTGTGTATGCATATAGGTGTGTGTATGTAAATACATATATGTAAATATAATCTATGCAAATATTCCTACACATGTACATAGTTATGAGAAGGTGCTTTCTGCTCCCCATCAGTAAGACAATATCGTTGGCCACCATGAGTTCCTTAACGCAGGCATTTTCTCTAGTAGCTAGCAGGGGTGGGCAAACTTTTTGACTCGAGGGCCACAATGGGTTCTTAAACTGGCCCGGAGGGCCGGAACAAAAGCATGGATGGAGTGTTTGTGTGAACTAATATAAATTCAAAGTAAACATCATTACATAAAAGGGTACGGTCTTTTTTTTTTTTAGTTTTAATCATTTCAAACGGGCCGGATCTGGCCCGCGGGCCGTAGTTTGCCCACGGCTGAGCTAGAGCATACTTGCACAATCTCATTCCCACTCTCATCTTTGACATGACCTCTCTCTATAGGTTTCTGAATGTTCAAACTTTGGCTTTCTTCTCCATATAATAAAATATGAGGCAATTTCTGTGAAGCATTCTAAAAATAGACCTCAATGCAATTCCTATAAAATACTAGTATCTAAAACAAGAGTAACATGAAGGTGGATAGCAAATCATAAATACGTAAACCAGGTATAACGGTATTTTGAAAGGAAGATAAGTGCATAATATGTGCAGTTTTGACTACGTTTGCTCTAGTCAAACAGACGGTTCATACTCAATCTTGAGTCTGAACAAGAGGAGAAACAAGAATGCACAGACCTCTGCATCCATTTACAGGGCATAATAAAACCCTGCAACACTCAACACTCGGTTTAAATGAGATAGTTTGTTTCTGAATAGGCAACTCTAGAAGTCAAGTCCTTCTCACATTTTACACCGGATTCTTTTTGCTCCAATAGCGTATTTTGTGAGCTGTTTATTTTGTATTACATTTCAATTAGGTAATTAAATTTAAAAGTTAAAATATGACGTGTTAAAATGCACTTCTTTTCTACTTCACAATTAGGAGGCTTACATAGGTATGAAACCATTAAACAAACGGCTAGTAAATGGAAACTATATGAACCACAGGCAAATCTACTGATGACATTAATAATAAGCTTTTCTTTTCATCAGCTTTGTGGAGGGTTTATTAATATTTTACATCAGTGTCTATTTCAAAGAGATATTCTATTCCAACTTCTGGGTAAAATCTGCCAATTTTGAGCTTAGATCGAATGTTTCACATACAAAGGGTTTTTAAAAATAGTTCAATGCTAGTAAGTAAGGCGCACAGACGCTTCAGCTGCCTTTTGTGTATCTGGACCACTGCCTTTTGCATATTACTAATCTGTAAAAACCAGATTGTTAATGGTGGTTAAAAATGACCGCTGGGAGCCGGGATATGTTTGTTCACTATTACTGCTAATGTTTTCCATCTGGTTAACAAAAAAAGGCAGTCTAATACTAGATTAAATAAATGAGATTTAGTTGACAGTGAGATTCCAATTTTTATAAATATTCCATCAGGTTAAGTCCATTTTACTTTTCCAAAATTAATGAATGGCTTTGGAGACATCCCAAAATAAAATGCTTTCTTTTCTTCCCACTATATTCCCCCTTTTAAAAGTTACAAAAGGCAGGGTTGGAGGGCCATAGTGATCTTAATTGTGTAGAGTTATGGGAGAGAAAATTATAGCGTGAAGGAACATCGTTCTTAGAAGCAGGTCTTAAGATATATTTCAAGTCAGACTGTGAAAGAACACAGTTGGGTGGCGTACAGTTGGAGAGCAATGGGTAATTATGGCATAAGATGCATCCTGCGCATGGAGGTGACCAGTGCTGCTCCTCAAGGCTGTGTCTGCACCAGCGCTCCACAGGGGCACGTTCTTCAGTGGGACTGGCATCACTGCCTGTCAGTCCTGCTCGCCCCGAGGGGAGAGGCAGCGACATGTCACATCAGAGAAATTGCATCTCTGCCAAGTGCCGTAGAGGCCAGAGGACCAGGAGTCACGTGGTTCCTGCTTCCCTGGTCTCCCCAGCACCAGGTGGTCCCACATTCCAGGTGAATGTTCCACCCCACCCTTCATTCTGCCCTCACACGGCCATCAGAAAATGGAAGTACAAGAGGGATGGATGTGAGAAAATGCCACACTGAAGTAGACATGAGCAGTAAATATCAGATGAAGAGACTGAAGTATCTAAAGGGAGAAAAAGCCCTGAATGGTTTGGCTCAGTGGATAGAGCGTCGGCCTGAGGACTGAAGGGTCCCAGGTTCGATTCCGGTCAAAGGCATGTACCTTGGTTGCGGGCACATCCCCAGTAGGGTGTGTGCAGGCAGCAGCTGATCGATGTTTCTCTCTCATCGATGTTTCTAACTCTCTATGCCTCTCCCTTCCTCTCTGTAAAAAATCAATAAACTATATTTAAAAAAATAAAGGGAGAAAAAAAGCCTGGCCAGTGTGGCTCAGTGGTTGAGCATCTACCCAGGCACCAAGAGGTCACTGGTTCGATTCCTGGTCATGGCACATGCTCAGGTTGTGAGTTCAATCACCAGAAGGGGGCATGCAGGAGGCAGCCGGTCAATGATATTCCTCTCTCATCGATGTTTTTTATCTCTCTATCCCTCTCCCTTCCTCTCTCTCTAAAAATCAATAAAAACACATTTTTAAAAAATAAAGGGAGACACAAAAACAATAAACAAGACAGCCAATAGATTCATCAGCACCACTTTTCAAAGCAGAAGAGTAATTACTTTCTCTTAAAAATCGTGGCACAGCTCTGCTCAAGAACCTGCAATGGCTCCCATGGTCGACACCACAGAATCCACTCTAAATTCCTCCTTCTGAGCCTTCAGGTTTTCTCTTAACCTTGTCCCATGGGCTGAGCTGAGCTTTTTCTATCACCAAACACAAACCCTTTACTCTAGCTGGGCCTTTATTTCTTGTACTTGCTGGGTCTACCCTACATTGTTTCTCTTGCCTAAGGTTCCCAGACCCCTCTCCTCCCAATCCATCCAAAATCAGAATGCCAGTCCAGTCTCGGCTTCCGTAAAGCCCTTTCCAGCTTCTGCAAATGCTGCTGATCCATTCCTTCCCTGGTTGAAGTTCCAGGTGCTGATTGTCTTTACTGGGCCACTTTGTACCCAAGAGCCTGGTATGTTACAACAGATGCGAGTCTAGCTTTCTCAGCTAGAAAACCTGCTTTCTCAGGCCAGGAAGATCCTGCCCTACAGGTAACCTCCATCACCTCTACCCCAGGCAGGAGTACAGATACTTTCAACAAATACCGTTTGCACTTAATTCAATCGGGTTTGTGAAAGAAATACACATGAATGCTATAACAAATCCTCAATAGTCATAAGGGGTCTTTA